AACTACCCTCATCCTCTATTAGGTTTCCTTAAAACTCTGTGGACAACCAGGGAGGAAGCATATGCACCCCTTTCCAAATGGGAACCATGTGACTACTCCCAGAAGGTGATTTTATAACACTGGCTCCTGAGGCATCAGCCTCCCCATCAGCCACTTGCAATGGGAGGTCACAGCTACACACTTTGGAACCTGTCAGGTTTCTGAGTTCTGATATCTGAAGAGCATTCTAGTCCACTTCCACTTCAGTAAGGGTCATTGGAGTCCATGACCACAGTCAGGGTTCTACCCTTTGATAACAGCAATGGGTCTCAGTTTAATGGCCTTCTTGCTGATTCCAGCATCATGGCAGGTATTCACCACATCCATCATGTTCTTATAGGACCCAGGAGCCTCTTTCAAAACCAGTTTGGGTGAGGCAACACGAATTGCAATTCCCATATCTGCCAATTTGTCTAAGACGTCCTGGAAATCCAAGTTATGTCAAGATTTTGCTTGGTACAGTGCTCGGCCTGCTCCAAGGCAGGTTGTCCCAAAGCTCAGTGCCAGTAAGAACGTAACTACAGGTTCCCATGGTGCCACCAATGAGCACTGGTTGTCCAGTGAGTTGCTAATCAACAGCAATGAGGGGATAGTGAGGAGGGAAAGCATAGCCTTCTCTCAGTGACCAGTTCACTCCATCTCCAAGGCCTCTTCCAAGTCTTTGTGCACTAAGAGGGTCCGCTCCTTTCCTTCCACCACATGCTGTTCCACTTTGGCGATATTGTGAGAAATATCATAAATGACGTGTAGGTCCAAGTCACCAGGGGTTGTGTTGAATACCTTGGCAAAAGTCTGACGCGTTAAGAAGGTCATGGAAAAGCAGTTGACCCAGGCATAGTTCCCAGCGGCTGCCATCCCCTTTAGGTAATCCTGACCCTCTGGAGAAGCGATTCGAGCACAAGCCAACTGACGGTCATTGACTATAATCTTGTCTCTCTTCATGGACTTTTCCATAGCAACCAGGGCACCTGTGGCTACTTGGTGGCCCAAGTCTCTGCTTCCACTGTGGATCATCACACACACCTATCCTTTATGGCCGATGCCCATTTTCTTAGCAGCATACTCATTGAAAGTCTCATCTATGACTTGGATTTCTGCATAGTGGTTACCTGCTCGCAGAGTCCCCAACTGAGGAAGGCCTCTTTTCTTGGCCCTCGCAGAGACATTGGGGTCAGCTTGCAGCATCCTTCCAACTCCGCTTGTCTTCAGCCCAAGCATAGCCTTCTCTCAGCGACCAGTCCATGCCCATCTCCAAAGCCTCTTCCAAGTCTTTGGCATTCATTGGGACACCTTTTGATCTCACCCCAAAGGAATGTGGTCAAACATAGCCTGGGCATGTTGCTTCTTCACAGGCTGGACATCGCTTTCATCTAAACAAATTCTTAGCAAGCGGACACTGCAATTGATATCAAATCCGACACCACCTGGGGACACCACTGCTTCAGCATCATTCATGTCAAAGGCTGCCATATTCCCAATAGCAAACCCATACCTGAATGGACATCAGGAAGCCCAATAGATCGATGAACAATCCCAGGCAGGGCTGCCACATTGCCGATTTGTTTCATGGCAGGCAGGAAGTCACCAACACCGCCAACTTGACACACATTCCTTAATTCCTCAAACATTAATTTTTCTAGAGCATCATTTACATAGAAAATTCCTTCAACCTGCATGTTGGGCATGAAGCCTTTCTTGATTCTCCAGCAGTTTTTTAAAAAAAATATATTTTATTGATTTTTTACAGAGAGGAAGGGAGAGAGATACAGAGCTAGAACGTCAATGAGAGAGAAACATCGACCAGCTGCCTCTTGCACACCCCCTACCGGGGATGTGCCCGCAACCAACATACATGCCCTTGACCGGAATCGAACCTGGGACCTTTTAGTCCGCAGACCGACGCTCTACCACTGAGCAAACCGGTTTCGGCTCTCCAGCAGTTTTTATAGATCTTTTCCAAGAACTGCAGCTCATCATTGTAACTGCGACTCATGTAATTGCGTTGCCATGGCAACTACGTTATCAACGCCCGGTGCCACTTTAAAGAGAGCTGCTGCGCTGTCTCGGGTCCCGTGGTCCCGAGCCACAAAGTATTGTTAAAAAATACTATGAACAACTCTACTCCAACAAACTAGTCCGCCTGGAGGTAATGGACATATTCCTACAAAAATACAACCTTCCAAAACTTGATCAGGAATATTCTAAAAATTTCAATAGGCCGATAACCATGGAAGAAATTGAAATGGTCATCAAAGAGCTTCCAGCAAACAAAAGCCTAGGACCAGATGGCTTCACAGGGGAGTTATACCAAACATTCAAGGAAGAACTAAACCTATACTCCTCAGATTATTCCAAAAAATTCAAGAGAAAGTAACACTTCCAAACTCCTATGAAGCTAGCATCACCTAATACCAAAACCAAATAAAGACAACTCAATGAAAGAGAACTATAGGCCAATATCCCTTATGAACATAGATGACAAAATCCTCAACAAAATTCTAGCAAATCAGATCCAGCAGTACATCAGAAAGATCATACACCATGACCAAGTAGGATTTACCCTGGGGATGCAAGAATGGTACAATATCTGCAAATCAATAAACGTGATAAATCATGTAAACAAACTGAAGGATAAAATCACATAGTCTTATCAATTGATGCAGTAAAAACATATGACATATCCAACACCCTTTCTTGATAAAAACTCTCAGCAAGGTGGGAATAGAAAGATCATAACTCAACATAATAAAAGCCATATATGACAAACCCACAGCCAGCATCACACTTAATGGACAAAAACTAAAACCATTTTCCCTAAGAAGAGAAACAAGACAGGGATGTCCACTCTCACTACTCATGTTCAACATAGTACTGAAAGTATTAGCCATTGCTATCAGAGAAAAACAAGAAATAAAAGGCATCCAAATTGGAAAAGAAGTAGTAAAACTGTCCTTTTTTGAAGATGACATGATACTGTACATAGAAAACTCTAAAGCACATGTGTCAAACACAAGGCCCGCGGGCCAAATCCGTCCCGCCAGGCCTTGCAATGTGGCCCGCACCGCACTGTCATCACTGCACTCCGCTGCGTTTCCATCACAATGACAGTTTATGACTGTTCAGTAAACCATTTGGCCCGCGATTTAGGCTGGATTTTAGATTTTGGCCCCTTCTCTGATTGAGTTCGACACCCCTACTCTAAAGACTCCATTAAAATTATTAGACTTAATAAATTAATTCGGCAATGTATCAGGATACAAAATTAACACCAAGCAATCTATGGCATTTTTATACACCAATAGTGAATTCAGCCACTGTGGAGAACAGTATGGAGTTTCCTCAAAAAACTAAAAATGGAACTCCCATTTGACCCAGTGATCCCACTTCTAGGAATATATCCCAAGAAACTAGAAACACCAATCAGAAAGGATATATGCACACCTATGTTCATAGCAGCACAATTCACCATAGCTAAGATCTGGAAAGAGCCTAAATGCCCATCAGCAGATGAGTGGTTTAAAAACAGTGGTATATCTACACAACGGAATACTATGCTGAAGTAAAGAAATTCTTACTATTTGCAATAACCTGGATGGAATTGGAGAGCATTATGCTAAGCAAAATTAGCCAGGCAGAGAAAGATAAATATCACATTATCTCACTCATTTGTGGAATATAATGAACAATATAAACTGATGAACAAAAATAGATCCAGAGACAGAGAAACATCAGTCAAACCGTCAAACCTCAGGGAAGATGGGGATCGGTGGGTGTAAGGGGGAGAGACCAACAGAGGAACTGTGTATATGCATGAGTCTAATCAATGGACACAGACAACATGGGGGTGGGGAGTAATGGGGGAAAGGGACATATATGTAAAAAATAAAAATTAACAAAAATTTATAAGAAAATATATATATTAAATCTAATCTATATAAGTGGTCACCATAATCTTAAGAGAAATTGTTTCATCTGACAAAGATTTTTTAAAATATATTTTATTGATTTTGTACAGAGAGGAAGGGAGAGAGATAGAGAGTTAGAAACATCAATGAGAGAGAGTCATCGATCAGCTGCCTCTTGCACACCCCCCACCGGGGATATGCCCGCAACCAAGGTACATGCCCCCGACCGGAATCGAACCCGGGACCTTTCAGTCCCCAAGCCGATGCTCTATCCACTGAGCCAAACCGATTTTGGCCTGACAAAGATTTTTAAATGAAACTCTCTGTAGCCTGAAAATTATCATGGAAGGAAATAAAGAGAGGTTTTCTTCAAAAGTCATAAGGATTGTAACTGAACATCAATATATTTGGCCTCTTGAACTATAGTAAATAATTTGTATGTTTGCCTCCCTGGCAAAGTTTATATAAAGTTACAAAAAGAAATTGACAGCCAGTTTGAAATTGAATTGCCAGGGCCCAGAGCAAAGAATATCCTTACATAATATTATCCTACAGTCATTACAATTTCTTATATTTTACAACAGCGTATTATTACTCCCCCAAAAAACTTACAAACTAATTTTCTGAATGTTTGGCTGCAATTTAAAAAAGGACATGAAAGGATTTAATCCCTTTCATAAGGAATTAAGGCACTGGGAAGACACTGGAGCATTCCATATTGTCCCTTCTTGCCCTTTGGCCAAGAGAGACCCTCCTTTTACAATCCAATTGTCCACAGCTGTTGCCTGAGCTTTCTGTTCATGCTGAGGTTGAAACCTTGTTGTGGCTGGTACCATGGATCTGTTTCTCGTCCAATGGTGTGAGCTGGGCCCTCCCTAGAGAAGAAACCTGAGTCCTGTGAGATATGTGATCAGTGCTGAGGCCTGCCAACAGGCGAGGGGATCCCAAGACAGGAGCTGGGCGGGGAGGCCATGGGGGCATAAGCTACCAAGGAAACAGAACTGAACCTCAAATCAGAGGTCAAACCTCAGAGGATGGCTGGTTAGCCAAAGATGGGTAAGATTCCTCAGGGAAGGAACAACCTAAGACAGGCACAGTTACAGAGGAGCCATCAGGAGAGAACGTGGAGATCAACAGAGGTGGAGCACAGACCCTCACCCCCCACCCCAACCTGCAGGGACATGAACTCTCACCCCTTTGGAGGGAGGTCTCCTGCCCCCATGGCTGCTTCGCTTCCCCTGCCCAGCTCATATGGAGACCCAGGTAACAGAAAGAGACTTGGCCCAGCTCAGATGGAGACTTGGCCAACAGCAGCTGCCCTATATCATATCTATAATAAATCCAGCATAGCACCAGGAATGCTCAGGGCCTACTCAAGAATGCAAATAATCTTTTCCACTAATATTTACAGGGTAAGCTAAGATTGTTGCTAGAGTATTAAATTTGACAGTAAAATAGTAATCAAGTTTTTAGGATAATTTAAATTGGTTAATAAAAATTAGTGAACATCCAAGAAAATTTAAGTGTACTGGACAAAAAGCTGTTCCTAAAGTCTTAACTAAAATTTCTATTGGTAGTGCATCTCATGGTAAAATTGCTTAACATGAAATGAACCTAAAGCAGTCTTCTGTTTCTCAGAACTGTTGGACATTGAAATTGGAACTCAAATGTTTTTTGTTATTATATGTTTATTTCTAGTCTGCATTTGCAAGATTTTTCAAAGAAAAGAAATGGGAAAAATAGTTATAGAGATAAAGAACCATTGAAGAGACTGTCAAACTATAGTGGGAAGGCAATAAAGGTTGGGGGGCGGTATTAAGAGATCAACCGAAGGACTTGTATACATGCATGTAAACATAACCAATGGATACAAAACATGGGGAGGGCAGGTGAAGGCATATGCATGGGGTGTAGAGGAGGCTGGGGGGAGGTCAAAGCAGGAGGGAAAAAGGAGACACATGTACTACTATTTGTAATGCTTCAAACAATAAAAAAAAAAAATAAAGAAAACATCCTATATAATAAACGCCTAATATGCAAATTGTCCCTTCGACTGGGAGTTCAATTGCTTGCTATGATGTGCACTGACCACCAGGGGGCAGCACAGAACATGATGGGCATCAGCGATGCAGCACTGGCAGAGGGAGGTAGTGGAGGAGCTGCTGGCCCTGATGGGCCCCAATGAGAGCGTGACTATGGCAGGAAGGTGGAGTAAGTGAGCAGGCCATGCCAGGCCAAGGCAGGTGCGAGCAGGGCCTGACTGCCCTGCTGATTGCCCTGCAGATGGTAACCAGGTGCTGAGAGAAATGGGTGTGGCCTGATGACTCAGGTGGGAGGGGGGGGGCACGTGGGGCCCAGGATCCCAGGTGCTTCCCAGGGCCCAGAGGTCAGCTGGGACCTGCCCTTCCATGCCAGATGCTTGTGCTTTGGTTGCTGGCCAGTTTTAAAAACTGCACCCATACATGAATTTTGTGTACTGGGCCTCCAGTTATTATATGCCAACAAACAGTACAATTTGGAAGAATGAATAAATTCCTATAAACATATACTTTTCCAAGATTGAATCAAGAAGAGATAGAATATCTGAACAGACTGATTAAAATCAATGAAATTAAAGCAGTTATAAAAAAAAACACTCCAAACAAAAGTCCTGATGGTTTCACAGTTGGATTTTACCAAACATTTTAAAAACTAATGTCTATCCTTCTCAAACTATTCCAAAAAATTCAAGAGGAGGGAAGATATCAAAGCTCATTTTATGAGGACAGCATTATAATACCAAAACAGAATAAACTACACTAATAAAAGAGAAATATGCAAATTTATCATACCTCATGATGCCCACCAGCCAATCAGGAGTATGCAAATTCACCCGAGCCCAGCTGGAGGGACGCCTGCTATGAGGGGAGAGGGAGCTACAGGAGAGGCACTCTGGCCAGAGTGACGACTCCAGACTCCAGCCAGAGTGAAGATTGTAGACTCCGGCTGGAGTGAAATCATAAGGCGGTAGCCAGAGCGAAGGCCTGGGTCCCGGGTGCTAGAGAAAACCAGTGCCGGCAGCCAGGGGAAGGAAGGCCTATTGCACAAATCTTTATGCAACAGGCCTCTAGTGAGACTATAAGTAAATAAAATTAAAAGAGCATATACTTGATGAACATATATGCAAAAATACTCAACAAAATTATTAGCAAAGTATATTCAGCAGTACATTAAAAAATCATACACCAAGATTGAGTGTGATTTATTCCTTGGATGAAAAGTTGGTACAATAACTACACATCAATTAACATAACATACCACTTAAACAAAATGAAAGGTAAAAATCATATGATCATATTAACAGATGTAGAAAAAGCATGTGACAAAATCTTGTATGCACTTGTGATAAAAACTCACAGCCAAGTGGGAATATAGAAAACATACCTTAATATTTAAAAGCCAGATATGACAAACCCACAGCTAACATCATACTTAACAGGGAAAAATTAAAAGTGTTTCTCTTAAGATAAGGAACAAGGCAAATGTCCACTTTCACCACTCTTACACACAATAGTACTGGAAGTCCTAGCCACTGCAATCAGACAAAAAGAAGAAATAGAGACATCCAAATTGGAAAGGAAGAAGTAAAAATCTCATTATTTCCAGATAATACATAAAGAACCCTGAAAGTTCCACCAAAAATGCTACTAGGACTGATAAATAAGTTTAGTAAAGTAGCAAGATACAAAATAAATATTCAGTAAATCAGTTGCATTTTTATACACCAAAATGAACTATCGGAAAGGGAAATTAAGAAAGCAATTCCCTTTAAAACTGCATTAAAAGAAAATATGAGAATGGCTATGTTCTGAGCGATCCCCTTATATCTCCCACTGAAATGTCAACAAGTTGACCAGCTGTAACCCAAGAAATGATTCTCTGCTTGACATACAGGCAAGCCTGAGAGATCTGTGCGTTAAAGCATCTAAAGATGGGCAAAAGGGAACAGGGGAGGAAAGAAGGGTGGAGAGCTCAGACTGGCCATGGATGCAGACCTGCAGCTGGCTATAGCAGGTGCTTCCCATAGCTGGGAGAATCAGTCTCAGTGGGCACTCCAGCAGGAGTGAGCAGTGGGAACAACTGAGCCAGTCAAGAGACTAGGAAAAGAGCACAGCACAGGGATTCTCCCAGGGCTGTCCACTGCTATGTGATCAATTTTCCTGAAAAAAAAAAGAAAAAGAAAAAGAAAAAAGAAACAAAGCCACAGAGCCTCGTACCTTAGACTCCCAAAATTGCCCTTGGTGTCAGGTTGAGGAGCACATTCTTTGCAAATTGAGAATGATTATTGCAGAATTGCTATTTCCCTCTGTGACTGACCCCTGGTTGGGGCATGTGGGGGAAGGGAAGAGGCAGGGAGGAAGGGAGACATCCAGTGGAAATCTGGGTCACCATTACCAATATGTAAAAACAAACCCCACCCTCAATTGATGGCAGCCATGGCAGGGAAGCATCTCAGAAAAAAAATGGCTGCCAAATAGGCAGATCTGTTGTATATCTCATCCCAAGGTCAGACTGGAAATATAACTAAATTGAAAAACATTCACCTGGAATTACAAACTTAGATCCAGCTGAGGAGGAGACTTATATCAAGAGAGGACAGAAAACACCTGGAGATCAGGAGGAAGGGTGGGGTCATGAGAGGAGCTGACCCAGCTTCCAGGGGTGGCAGGGCAGCAGAGAGATGAGGGAGCTCAGGGCTATAGGAGAGTCTTTTCCCTCAGAAGATAGAGGCCCAGAGCCCAAGCTGGGCTCCACAGCTAGGAGCACCAGAGCTGAAACTGCAGCCCATATAACATTTAGCCAGGAAAGGTGACAGGGCTACTGGCTGCCTAGGAGTCTGGATTCTGAAGATCAGAGGCAGTTGGAGAGAAAGCTATAGTTTTATTTAGTTTGATTTTTTCTAATTCCAGAGCATAGAAGTTTTCATTTGCAACTATTAACGTGAGGTTTTTGTGCAGGGTCAGAGGTGCAGACTAAAGGTGCCTGAGGAGAGGCTAGAGTGGGAGACAGGGCAGAGAGAAGAAGAAAAGCAATATCTAGGAGTCCTACATTTGATCATTCATCCAAACCAAAATGGCCATTTTTCCTAAAAAGAGCTAGCCACACCCAGTAGCCTCAGGCTTATCTTCAGGAGCCCTGCATCCTACACTCTGTATTTTAAATTTTGCAGCGGAAACAAAAGCAGAGGCCAAACTTAAAGAGGTCTGAAGAGTTTCCAGGAGCCCTCAGTGACTGGATTGGAGGAGGGGCCTTCTATCCAGCTATTCTGGAAACCAGACTGATAAAAACTGTAGGTTCCTAACTGTCCCCACGGGTCTCCATACAAGGATCTGTCCAGCCAAGGGCAGAGTAATATTTTGGTCACTGGTGGGAGAGTAGCTCTGGGACAGGAAAACACATCCACCATATTCCCTGAAAGCTAAAGAGCACCTCTCCCACCTAAAACCTTTCAGAAGCAGATTTTTGAGTGAATAAGACTGAAAGCTGATGATCAGGCCAAGGCAGAGCCCAGGGAACCAGGGGAAGTTTGCTGACCCAAGCCTGGACCCTGTGTGGCTAACACCCTACTTTAGAGAGCAGATTAGCCCCTCCTGCTTACAGCCAAGGTATGTGGAGACAGACACAAGCAGGGGATCAATGAATCGCTTGGAGCTTCAATCAGGTTACTGAAAGCCAAAGAGAGTGCATGATAGTGGTTAGCACCTAAGTACCTAACAGGAAGCTTAGAATTGGCAGATAGTAAGAGACTAGGGGTGTCGAACTCAATCAGAGAAGGGGCCAAAATCTAAAATCCAGCCTAAATCGCGGGCAGAATGGTTTACTGAACAGTCATAAACTGTCATTGTGATGGAAACGCAGCGGAGTGCAGTGATGACAGTGCGGTGCGGGCCACATTGCAAGGCCTGGCGGGACGGATTTGGCCCGCGGGCCTTGTTTTTGACACATGTGGCAAGTTACCATGGGGCATTAAAAATCAGCTGTGGTGGAGGCTCTTAACTTTTCTTTCTTCTATCCTCTTCTCCATTTTTCGTCTCTTTCCTCTTTTTTTGGTTTCTCTTTTGTTCTTTTTTTCCCATTTAAAATTTATCTTCTTTATTGATCTGCTTTATTGATTTATTATTCAACATAGCAGTCTGTGTACATTCTTGTTTTGCTTCTGTTTCATATTTTGCCTTGTATTTTGTTCTGTTCAGTAAGCCCCTCCACAACAGCATGCATAATGTGGTCAGGGATGAACCACATAGTCAGCTAGTCTGAGAGGAAAATACCATTCA